TTTTTATATAAGTTTTTTCATTAATGATAAGCACTTCACGAGTCGTGATTAGACCCTTTGTTATCAGCTGGCGCAGTCTGCGCTCATGCGACTCTTTCTTCCGATCAGTCGGGATGGCCAGTCCAAGCACATATATACCGAGCCAGTCCCATGTGCCTGAGGATTTGTGGAACAGGGTCCTCACCTTGACCGTTTTCCTCATTTCTCGTCCTTGCACAGTTATCAGCGGGCTGGTGCACACCTTGTTTCCGGGTATGTACCACTGGTCGTGCATGATCCTATGAACATTCGTATCCAAGCGGAGCTTGGTGGACCAAAACACATAAACATGGCAATCTGGGAACCGCCCTCCACCATCACCAAGACTCGTCTAGTGTTCCCTTCCAGAGCAGCCCATAACCCCCGCCGAGGGTCCAATAGCAATTCCTGTCAGGCTCCCCCCTCTATGGGGTGCTGAGTATACCATGGCTCGTATTGATCTTACAACGATCCAACATTTGCGCGGATCGCCCAGGATGCAGAGGTACTCCATAGTCGGATTGAGGTCTGCAAGATTATTACTGCACGTCAGTATACATAGTTTGGAGTGCACCCAATCAAGCTGGAATGATAGTCGTGCACGGGTCTTGCGGTACATAAATACGTGACAGTGCGTGCGTCGGGCGACTGCTCAGTGCTTCGGCCCATAGTGGGTGGAGGGACTATAAGGCTTTCTTCGTCCTGCTCGACGACGAGAAGGATGACTTTCTAACTTGATCGACGATGCGGGGTGATGAGTTGCTGCGGCGTGAGTGTGGCGCAACAGTCGGGGCTCGGGCCGGTTGGCGGGATCACTTTGTGATGCGGGATGAGCTCGAATGTTGGATTGTTAGATCAACAGATCCGTTATCCGGGAAGTCTACATTTACAAACCGGTGATCTTTGTTTTTTTCGTTTGGTTGGTGCAGACTGTCGGTGAAGATGTTTTTGTTTGTATGTAAAAGATGAGCGGGATCGGCCGATGGTCATGAGCTCCTCCGGGCCGATGATGAAGATGATGATGCAGGGCGAGTGTGATTAACTGGGAGGAAGACGGCGGCCGAGCGGATCACCCTGGACCCCCGGGCGTTCCCGGGCTATAACATAAATAGTTGGATATCAAGATGATGATCGGGGCCGGCCGACGAGCTCACTGTGGTTCGCTTGGCTCTGCTTGATGATCAATGAGACTGATCACTAGAGGGGCTCAATCCAATCCATCGAGTTCAGTGAGGATAATTGTAGTCTGTCTGTCAGGAGCTCTCACTCTCTTCTTGGCACTCTTCGTCAGTCTGCTTCCCACCCCACCCATCCACACTACTACACCACTATTGGTCCTTCAAGAATCATTATACTCGTCCGCTGAGACTCCCGCATAGTCCCAACCCCACACACTTGTTCTTTTTTTTTCTTGTTTCTTAGCTCGCATCCTGCTGGCCGGACATCGTCTGGTTTGCTCTAATTATATAAGGCGCTAGCTCCTGATCTCTGGATTGTTTCCCGCTGGGCAGAGAGAAGAGAGGTCGAGTTGATTCGGAAGGGACGACGATGAGAATGGTGGCAGCTTATAATTACATCCACGGTCTGGTCGAGAAGGTGGCGCGAAGAAACGGGAGTACAACAAAGAAAGCTGGGAGAGCAGCCTCGACAGATCCGGCGGCGATGAAGAGCAGTAGACCTCATGAGCTCCCGCTGGCCTTCGGCGACTTTTTCGTCCGCGAACAGCGCTCCGCCAATGGCCGCTCTTGCAACCTCCTCGCCGACAGACCCTCAAAGTATACTAGTTACTCCCTCTCCGAAGGCTTCCAGCGCGAGTCCGAGAAGATCTATCTCGCTAACTTGCTCCGCTCGGCTGCCTGGAAATTGGATAGCAGGTCCGCAAATGAACTGGCAGGATTTATGATGATGATATGTTTTTGTTATATGGGAGAGCTGCTCACTGATCAAGTCTTCTGGCCCTCTCTCTCTCTCTCTCTTGCTGCAGACTCATTCCTGTCTTGGCTCTCTTTTACTTCGCCAGCGAGCTGGGTCGCTTGAGTCTCAGTAAGAAAACACTCCTCATATTAAAAATATGTAGTCATTCTTGAGAACGTCCAGTTTCGATGTAAAACTCTTTGGGTGAACAAAAAAGAAAAGAAAAGAAAAGAAGGACTTCTGATCACTGATTTCGTTCTCTCTTGCTACAGACAACATACGTTCTATAGGTACATGATCATCCGTTTTGTTGACGCGCACACATAATCCAAGATCCAACCAGACACTAACTAGGAAATGAGATATGACTGGATGACTCTACCCATAATAGGTCTGCAGACTGATTTACGGACAGACGATTCGCAGTTCACTCTCTGCCTCATAGTCACCCTGATGTAAGACCCTCCTACCACCACCTCAAAAAAATGGTGGGGCTCTGTCTTCTTTGACCGTCACTGACTGATGCTCGTGTCGTTCCAATATTATTTGAATTGGATCCTCGTTGTAGACCCATAATCGTAAGCTTTCCATCACAAATCATTCTTGGAAAGTGGCGGCCTCGAGGCTTACCCGAAATCCAATCCGTACGTAGATCGTCGAAATCCCCTCGAATTTCATCGTAAGTCTTTTCTTCTCTCTCTCTCTCCCAAGAAGATCCCCCCCCCCCCCCACAAAAAAAAAAAACATCGGAAGAGACGGGGGAGGTTTGAGCAACCTAAGATTGATAATGTGGTTGAGCGATCGAATATATTCGTAGATGCGGCGGATCGGCGCCAAGCTTTTTTTTCCACTCATCCTGACGCTTTCAGGACTGACACTATTCTTTCATGGGTTTGTGTCCAAGTGAGTCCATCTGCTCACGTTCTCTCTCTCTCTTAAAAAAAAAATCATGTATTTTCCTCAAAAAAAAGAAGAAACTTCTTGTTGACTGTTTCATTGATCGATGTACATGGTGGGACTTGAAGCTATGTCGGGCTTTTGGCGGCCAGTAAGCATTCCGATCTCTCGGTGTACTGATCGATAGCTAAAAAAAAAAAA